ATCACCAAAAGGGTAGATTTTCAGTGTTTTTATCGCAAAAAATGATAAGTATATAAGGTAATTGATATGTTAATAAGCTTGATTGAGCCACTCCACAATGCAGACATATTTCAAAACATCGTCACACTTCATTAATACATATAATTTTTGTGTGAATTTAAACACAAATAAAAATATATTTTTTTGAAGAATAAGTGACTGAATAAATGAATGAGGAGGTGAACAACCAATGTGTGGAAGTAGTATAGATTCCGAATTGTTCACAAGCTCCCTGGGCAATGCTTAACCAGAGTTGAGGGCCTCTCCCCTCAACCATCTATGGTCAAAATTTCTGGAATCTCTACACCAGCCTCGATGCCTCCTCTAGCCCTGTGCTCAGGAAGTCCTTCGCCTAAGTCCTCTTTTTTTTTTTTTTTTTTTGCCCTTTTTTGAGATGCGGTCTTGCTCTGTCACCCAAGTTGGAGTGCAGGGGTGTGATCACTGGAGCCTTGATCTCCTGGGTTCAAGCAATCCTCCCACCTCAGCCTCCCAAGTAGCTGAGACAGGCGTGCCCAGCTAACTTTTTTTTTACTCTATTTTTTTTTTTTTTTAAAAAGACAGAGGGAGGGTCTCTGTTGCCCAGGCTGGTGTTGAACTTTTGGCCTCAAGTAATCCTCCCACCTTGGCCTCCCTAAGTGCTGGGATTACAAGCCTGAGCTACCATTCTCGGACCTAAGTCCTTCTCCCTAACCCTCCCAGATCACCATGGAAAATACATCCTTTCTCCTAGCCTCCTCTAGAACCCCTGCCCATTGCTCCGTCCGGCCCTTCCTCCCACCTCTTACCCTCGGACCATCCCTTCAGCCTCAAGCTCCCGCCACCCTCCAAATCTCCCTGATCAAACTGTGTACTTCCCCCTGACCTGTTTGAAGCAGGCCTCCACAAGGTTTGGTGGAAACATATTTCTGCAGAGAAACATCAGAAGAAGGAAAGTGGTTAGACCGTGGAAGGGCATCTAGGGTGATAACAGTAATACTAACACCAAGAACAACAGTAATGCAGCCAGCACATGAATGCTTCCTCTAGGCTGGGCACTGAGCAAGCATCTTGCTATCATCTGATTTAAACACTACAATAACCCCAGACGTAAGTGCTATTTAATGCCCCATTTCACATAGAAAGAAACCAAAGCTCAGAGAATTGATGTAAGCTACCCAGAACCACAGACCTGCTAAGAGGTGCAGATGACCCTCAAATCCAGGTCTGTCTGAGCACGTGGCCAGAGCCCTGCATCACCTCAAGGACTTTCATTCAAACACACGTGTGTCAGTGATGCCTCAAAAATCCGCAGAAAACTCCTAAACCCTTTTAACTTTAGGTTTCCCCTAGGCCCATGATTAAGGTAGAACCAAGGCTAGCCTTGAATCTGGGTGGCAAAAATCTTGCTGCTCTAATTAAAACCACAGTGAGATACCACCTTACTCCAGCTAAAACAGTCATTATTAAAAAGTCAAAAAACTATAGATGTTGGCATTGATGTGGGGAAAAGGGGACACTCACACATTGCTGGTGGGAATGTAAATTAGTACAACCTCTACGGAAAACGGTATGGGGATTTCTTTTTTTTTTTTTTTTTTTTTTTTGAGACGGAGTCTTGCTCTGTCGCCCAGGCTGGAGTGCAGTGGTGCGATCTCGGCTCACTGCAAACTCCGCCTCCCAGGTTCAAGCAATTCTCCTGCCTCAGCCTCCCAAGTAGCTGGGATTACAGGTGCCTGCCACCACGCTTGGCTAATTTTTTGTATTTTTAGTAGAGACAGGGTTTCACCATATTAGGCAGGATGGTCTCAATCTCCTAACCTCGTATCTGCCCGCCTCAGCCTCCCAAAGTGCTGGGATTACAGGCGTGAGCCACTGCACCTGGCCGAGAGATTTCTTAAAGAGTTAAAAGTAGATCTACTATTCCACCCAGCAATCCCACTTCTGGGTATCTATTCAAACGAAAAGAAGTCACTATATCAAAAAGATACCTGCACATATATGTTTATCACAGTACAATTCACAGTTGCAAAGAAATGGAACCAACCTAAGTGCCCATCAGTTGATGAGTGCATAAAGAACACATGATATATGTACACCATGGAATACTACTCAGCCATGAAAAAGAATGAAATAGGCTGGGTGCAGTGGCTTCCACCTGTAATCCCAGCACTTTGGAAGGCCAAGATGGGTGGATCGCTTGAGGCCAAGAGTTGGAGACCAGCCTTGCCAACATGATAAAACCCCGTCTCCACTAAAAATACAAAAATTAGCTGGGCATGGTGGCAGGCACCTCTAATCCGAGCTACTCAGGAGGCTGAGACAGGAGAATCGCTTGAACCCGAAGGGCAGAGGTTGCAGTGAGCCAAGATCGTGCCACTGCACTCCAGCCTGGGTGACAGAGTGAGAAGTCAGACTCTGTCTAAAAAAAAATAAAAAATAAAATATAATGTCTGTGGCATGGATGGAGCTGGAGGCCATTATTCTAAGTGAAGTAACTCAGGAATGGAAAACCAAATACAGTATTTCTCACTTATAAGTGGGAACTGAGCTATGAGTATGCAAAAACATACAGAGTGACATAATGGACACTCGAAACTCAGAAGCAGGAGGCGGGGACAGTAGTTAGAAATTAAAAACTACACATTAGGTACAATGTACACTACTAGCGGGACAGATGCACTAAAATCTCAGAATTCACCGCTATATAATTCCTCCATGTAACAAAGAAACACTTGCTCCCCAAAAGCTACTGAAATTAAAAATTAAAATTTTTTTCATAGGCCGGGCACAGTGGCTCACGCCTGTAATCTCAGCACTTTAAGAGGCTCAGGCGGGTGGATCACTTGAGGTCAGCAGTTCAAGACCAGCCTGGCCAACATGGTAAAACCCTGTCTCCACTAAAAATACAAAAATTAGTCTGGTGTGGTGGCACGCGCCTGTAATTCCAGCTACTCTGGAGGCTGAGGCACAAGTATAGCTCGAACCCTGGAGGCAGAGGTTGCAGTGAGTCAAGCTCATGCCACTGCACTCCAGCCTGGGTGATGGAGTGCAAAAATAAAAATAAAAACAATTAAAAGAGTAAAGGCAACTATTAATAGCCAAAATATTTTTTTAAATAATAAAAATAAAAAATTTAGTTAATTTTTTAAAAAATTGTGCTGCTTCTATTTCCCATAGCAAAGACTTGGAACTGACCCAAATGCCCATCAGGGATAGACTGGATAAAGAAAATATGGCACACGTATGCCATGGACTACTATGCAGCCATAAAAAAGAATGAGTTCATGTCCTTTGCAGGGATGTGGGTGAAGCTGGAAGCCATCATTCTCAGCAAACTAACATGGGAACAGAAAACACTTATGTTCTCACTCATAAGTGGGAGTTGAACAATGAGAATACATGGACGCAGGGAGGGGAACATCACACACCGGGGCCTTTCAGGGGATGGGAGGCGCAAAGGGAGGGAGAGCATTAGGACAAATACCTAATGTATGTGGGGCTTAAAACCTAGATGACGGGTTGATAGATGCAGCAAACCACCATGGCGCATGCATACTTATGTAAGAAACCTGCACGTTCTGCACATGTATCCCAGAACTTAAAGTAAAAAATAAAATATAATATAAATTAAAAAATCATGCTGCTTTAAGAGAATCATTCACCCTCCAATGATGCTTAAGGAAACAACAGCTGTTCTGACCTCACCTTGAGGGTCATATCCTAAGATCATATTCTAGCAGCAGCTGCCGTTGGAGAATATATGCAAGGCTCCAGGGCAGAAATTGGGTACCAAAAATGGGTACTATGGGAGCTGCTATGTCCAGCCTGCAGCAGCCTGTCCCCTTTGTCTCTCCTTGAGTATGAGTTGTTTTAAGTAGAGTCAGAAATCATATCAAAATGAGTACAGTCACCTGTAAACTAAAAGTAACACCTAAGCCACCACCACCGCCAACAGCTGAACAGACTCTCTCGTGGCCAAGTGGACCCCAGAACAAAACTGAGTTCCTGGCCATGATGGGACAGGAGGTCAGACACGCCTCCTTACACCCTCTCCCTTTTATAATCTAGACACAACAACTAACCCACATCAATGTTAAATTAGGGTGTTAAATTAATTAAAA